ACGGCCCCTCACCCTCTCAGAGAGGGCACTGTCCCCCCAGGAACCTGCCATGGGTGAAGAGGAAGGAAGGAGAGACTGCTGAAGCCAAGGCCCCCAAGCCCCATTTCCTTCTTTGCCCTCACCTGTTGTTGAGAGCCAAGGGCTTCTGCTTGTCAGCCATGCTCATCTTTGGCTGCAGGAAGAAGCTGGTGGCGATCCATACCTGCAGGATCATGAGACCCAGGACGATGGATATGGTGAGGCTGAAACACAGGGCGAGACTGTTGCGGCACCTGCTCTGTGCTTGATGCACACCCGCTGTCCGTTGAGAAAACGGAGGCTCACAAAGGGGAGGTGACTTTCTCAAAGTCACAGTCAGGTCGTTTGGCTCCATACTAGGACTCCAGGATTTAATTATATCCCTTTGTCCACAAGTGGCAGCTGGGATGCGTGTTTAACAGCATGGGAATCAAAGAAAAGCATGAAGTTTTTAAAGCTCTCATGAAGGTCCTGAAAGTGGACGGGCAGGCTCTGCCCAGCCTCCCACATAGCTTTGGGGGAGTGTGGAACCAAGGAGCTCAGAGTGGGGAGGTCCCCGGAGAGTGCCACATCGTGTGTTTGCATCGCCTGAGCAGCAGTGTGGGTGGCAGTTAAATGGGGCCTCGGCTTCAGATTGCTAGCTCCCAACCCTGCCTCTTCCCCTCCTTGGACAAATCACTTAGCCTTCTGTGCCTCTGTTTCCTTGTCTGACAAATGGGTGTTAATATGAGGCCCAGCCTTTAAAGGGTTCTTAAGAGAAAAGATGCACAGTGAATTATCAGTTACGTCAGCCTTCACTCTTATCTTCCATATGGGATAAACTGAGGCTCAGAGAAGTAATTTACCCAAGGTCACACAGCTGATCTAAAACCTGAACTCAGATTCCCTCTATCATGTCCGAACTCCCTTGTCACCTCCCTGAACTTTAACCTTCCCAGCTATACAATGGATATGTGTGTGCCCCCCCCCAGACACAACTGTGAGCACCCCACTGAATAGTGAGAATGGAAATGTCTTATGAACTGTAAGGCTCCCATTGTGATGACTTGCTATTTTGGCCCATCCTTGGGTCTGAGCTGAGAGTGTCGGTCCAGGAATGGGTGAGAGCCCAACAGCAGCTTCGAGGCTACACCAGTGCCTAGGCCCTGGGCAATGACAGAGAGCCCACCCTGCACTTACGTCCCAATGCCCAGTCCTTGGAGCATCTCCAGGCCCTGGTTGTGGACGACAGGCAACACCAGGCTGTACATGATCATCAGGCCACACAGGCTCTGTACCACGTGGATGATGAGGTAGCCTGTGGACCAAGGGAACCTACGGTCACTCAAGGCCCTTCGCAACCCAGTCATGACTTCCTGCAGAGCCCCTCTATCTTCCTCCCACCAAAGGTCCTGGCATTTTTGCTTATGCAGCTTCTTCTGCCTGGCACGACCTCCCTTTTCCTCCCGCTCACCTGCGGCTCACCCTGCAGTTCAAATGTCAACTCCACTAGAAAGCATTTGTGTCCTGCCTGGGAGAGTCACTTGCTCCTCTAAGTCACCACCACCTTTATCATTTCTGCCCCATGGGCTTCGGGCAGGTAGTAATGATAGCTTTGTGAGTGTGGGATTCTCCCTCCTTCCTGAAGGAAGGTGGGTGATTCCCTTTACCCATACCTACCCCCCACCTCCTTCTTCCTCACCTCTCTTCTCTCTCCCCACAGCCAGGACCCCATAGGTGCCCAGGGAATGGGTCACATGATGACACTTACCCCACAGAATATAGGCTATTTGCCAGCCAGAGTACCTTGCAATGGCCACCTGAGATTTAAAAAGGAAAAGGGGTCTCATAGGGGTGAAAACACTGATTACCTCCAATATACGGGTCCAGAATCTCTGCCTCATTTGAGGTTCACCCACCAACATACCAGGGCAGATGCCATGACTGTCATTGTTTTACAGATGAAGAAACCAAGGGCCAGATGGGGATAGTGACTATCCTGGGCCACCCAGCAGCAGAGTATACTAGAATTGAGGACTCTGGATGCCCAGTGCAGGGCTGTCCCTCCCCCCAGATGCTGCCCCTGCCTAAGAGGCAGGAGAGCAGGACTTGGCCACTTAGTCTCAGAGCAGAGACAGGCCTCTATAGACTTACCACACTCTTCGACGAGGAAGGATGATGGAACTTCAAAGGGAGAAAGTGTTTATTTCCTGCCCACAGCCTCTTCATGTGCTTTCTAGAGAAAAAGTGGGGAATCAGTGATGCTCATAACCACAACTCCTTATGTACTTAGAGCTCAACAGATGCCAACAGAAAAGCCTGCAGAGGGAGATAGAAGCCAGCTCAGCTTCCTTGTATTGACCGCAGCTCGTGGGACAGTTCTCACTAGCCTTAAAAATATTTTTAAAATACGTTTGGGCACCTGGGTGGCTCAGTTGGTTGAGAGTCCGACTCTTGAGTTTGGCTCAGGTCATGATCCCACGGTTCTGGGATCGAGCCCTATGTCAGGCTCTGCACTGAACGTGGAGCCTGTTCAAGATTCTTTCCCTCCCTCTGCTCCTCCCCAGTTTGTGTGCGTGTGTGCGCTTTCTCTCTTAAAGTATACAAAAATAAAATAAAATAAAATAAATTTTAAACTGAGATATAATTGACATATAACACTCCATTAGTTTCAGGTGTACAACATAAATGATCCCATATTTGTGCACGTTGAAAAATGGTCACCACAGGAGTCTAGTTAACATCCATCACCTCACATAGTTACAAGTTTTTTTCTTGTGATTAGAACTTTTAAGATCTACTCTTAGCGACTATCAAATATGCAATATGGTGCTGTTAACTATAGTCATCATGCTGTAGAGTACCTCCCCGTGACATTTATTTTATAACCGGAAGCTTGTACCTTTTGATTCCCTTCACCCACACCCACCCCCTATCCCCACCTCTGAAAACCTCAAATCTGTTCTTTGTATCTATAGCTTGGGTTTTTGTTTTGTTTTGTTTCAGATTCCACATATAAGTGAGATCATACAGCATTTGTCTTTCTCTGACTTCACTAAGCATAATGCCTTCAAGTTCCAACCATGTTACTGCAAATGGCAAGATTGCACTCATTTTTCTGGCTGAATAGTATACCAGTGTGTGTGTGTGTGTGTGTGTGTGTGTGTGTGTGTGTGTGATATGTCTTCTTTGTCCATTCATCCATCAAAGGACACTTAGGTTGTTTCTATATCTTGAATATTGAAAATAATGTTGCAATAAACGTGGGTGCAAATATCTTTTCTAAATACTGTTTTTGTTTTCTTCAGATAAATACCCAGAAATGGAGTTGCTAGATCATATGTAGTTCTATTTTTACTTTTTTGAAGAACTTCATACTGTTTTCCACAGTGGCTGCACCAACTTCCATTCCTACCAATAGTGCATGAGAGTTCCTTTTTTTCCACATCCTCGCCAACACTTGTTATTTCTTGTCTTTTAGGTACTATCCATTCCAACAGGTGTGAAGTGATACCTCACCATGGTCTTGACATGATTTCCCTGATGATTTAAAAATCTTAATATTATATAGTTCCCAGATCTCAATGGTGACTGAATGTGATAGTTGAGTCTCTGTGTGGCTTTTATTTTCTTCAATTTGCTCTATTACTTTTTCTGTGACGTGTATGTATTACTCATGTAATAATATTTCAAAATAGGTAAAAATGGAAAACTGTTTTTAATGATAGACCCACCTTATAGCAACATCAAGGACACGGAGAAGCCCAGCCCCCCAGCAAACCTCTGCATGCTTTCCCCACGTGCTGGTCTCAGCCTGGTCCTCGGCACGAAGATTAGGTTGGCAGTGGTTATGTTCACAACCCCCATTTACATCTGTGTCCCACTTTTCCTCTAACATTCTATATCCAGTGTTTTCCAGGAGGTTTTGCAACATTATAATCACTAAATTGGCAAGAATTAGTATGAAATAAAGAATGTAAATATCTCATTAATAGTTTGTATATTTATTACACAATGAAATGATGGTTGGGGGTTATGCTGGGTTAAATAAAATATGTTATTAAATTATTTTCATCTCCTTTTTTTTACTTTTTACTCATGTCTATTAGAAAATTCAAAATTGCATCTGTGGTTTTTATTATTTTTCGGCTCGGCAACACTGGAGTAGAGTATGCCATCAGGAATACAAACACACAGATATATTTGCATGGTGCATCGGAAATTTCTGGGGGGATACAGAAAATGAATAACGTTTAGCTCTGGGGCAACAAACTTGAGTCTGAATGACTTCAGACTTCCTTTACACTAAATATTTTTTATAACATTTTTTAAAAGAGGCTGTATATACGTTGTAATAATTCTAAGAAAAATAAAAATACTGGCACAGTGCTAGTGCTGTCCACTTGAAGGACTTTCTTATCCACTATTTCCTTTGCCCCATGGTCCTGTAAAGCAGACAGGGCAGGGATCATCATTCCTCTGTGACAGGTGTGGGAAGAAGGGGCCAGCCTGGACACCAGAGAAGCCTCCCCACCACAGAAGCCATCTCTTCCCTGGGCCCTCTACCATGTCAGTGCAGCCAGCTCTAAAAGGTGTCTGTGACTGGCTGTGGTCCAATGTCTCACTAATCATCTCCTAGGCACTTGCAGGTCAATGAAGGGAGGAGCAGACATATCCTTGCATCAGGCAGGGAAGGGGAGAGCAGCAGTGTCCAGCCAACCCATGGGGTCTGGGGAGAAGAAAGCAGAGAGAGGGAGCAAGCTAGGGCTGTGATGGAGAGCTGGGGCCTCTTTGTGCCAGGATGCGATCTGCCAGAGACCCACCCTTGGTGCAGCCAGATGGGGAGGATGTAAAGGCAGGATGCTTTGGAGGGGTAGGAGTTGGCCCTGGGCCTCCTGTGACTGCATATGAGTTACAGCCTGAGGTGGAGGGAAGAAGGAACTGAGAGACAGAGAGGAGGGATGGCACATACTGCTGTCTGCAGTGGAGTGCTGCTCACTACATACTGAAGGCCATCCCCTCCTCCTGCTCTGCTCTTCTAGAGACTGATGCACCTGGTGCCCTTGACCCGATCTCCTTTGATGTATCCTTGAGCCAGATGCACCTGCTGGGAACCCAGTGTGTTTAGTCCTGGAGAGCGGGGCAGGCCTGACACCCAATAGGGATGCTGAGTGTAGCAGAAGTGACAAGACCTCTCAGGACATGGCCAGCTGCTAATGGCTTGGGTGAGTTATTTTGTTGAGTCTCAGCCTTCTCAGCTGTAAAAACAGAGCTGAAACTACCTCTCACGGTTGTAGTGAAAATCAAAAGATTCTAAGCACAATATCAAGCTTATGGTAGAAGCTCAAATCAATAGTGTTTTCGTTTTGGGTTTTGTTTTATTACCGATCAATGAGGCTGTTCCTGGACCATGTACACCTTCCTGGTTCCAATTTGGGTACTGCTGTCACTGCTCCGGAGTTTTTAGAAAAGTACTGGCTGAAGACACACAAATGACTCCCAGAGCCCTCTTACCTGTAACAGGCCAGTATGTGGAACAGATAGCTCACACACGTGAGGGAGGCGGGCAAGATGGTCACCAGCCAGACTCCTGAAGTAGAAAAAGAGACAAGAGAGGCCTGAGAAGATGAACCAGAAACAGTATTTTCAAAATGTGGAAGCTCACACAGAAAGGGTTGTGTAAATAAAGTTTGTTTATATTTCTGGTTCATTTCAGACACACACACCCTTGATATCCTTTACTTCCCGCACAAGCCTCTCCTTGGGTATTAATATTTTCCATCTACAGTGAGTACGGGGAAGAGAAAATTAGGGAGTATACACATCGTAGTTCCCTTCCATTCTTGTAAAACCATTGATAGTTGATTTCGATTGGCCACCTCTAGTAAAGAGCAACCATGTACAAGGATAACTGGAATCAAGAGGTCTTGAATGTTCTTTCATCCCATCCATCCTGTGGAGAATCTCCACGGACATTACTCACAGTTTTTAATAGGCTGTATCTAATGTGCTTTCATTGTGATCCTGTGTGCTTATGAGAAAGGGATGGAGAAACAGGAAAGAGAGATGATTTGAAGGTATGAAAGCTTCTGGACAAGCTGTTTCTCAGTCAGTCCAATCAAAGCATTTTAAAAAATCCAACACCCCTTTTATCCTTAGCCTGATAAAAAGCATCTGCAAAAAAACCCACAGCTAACATCATACTTAACAGCGAAAGACTGACTGCTTTCCCCCTAAGTTCAGGAATAAGAAAATCAACATCCACTTTTGCCAATTCTATCTACATTATACTGGAGGGTCTAGCTGAGGCAATTAGGCAAGAAAATGCAGCCAGACTGCAAAGGAAGAAATAAAACTATCTCTATTCACCGGTGACTTTTTCTTATATTTAAGAATCCTAAGCAGTAAACAAACAACCAAAAATATTCAAACCCATTAATAAATGAGTTCAGTAAGGCTTCAGGACGCAAGACAAATATATAAAAATCAATTGTATTTCTGTACCCTAACAATGCACAATGTGAAAATGAAGAAAACAACTGCATTTGCACTAGTATCAGAGGATAAAATACTTAAGAATAAGTTTAGCAGAAGTATGTAACTCATACACTGAAAACTACAAAAGACTGTTGAAAGAAATTAAAGAAGACTTAGATTAATGGAAAGACACACCACTTTCATGTATTGGATCTTCTTTGGTAACATGGCAATGCTCCCTAAATTGATCTGAAGATTCAACCCAACCCCTGTTAAAATTCCAATGAAATTTTTGCAAAAATTGATAAGCTAATCCTATAATTCGTATAAAAATGAAGGGACCCAGAATAGGCTATACCATCTTGAAAAAGAAGAAGGAAATTTCGAGACTCACACTTCTTGATTTCAAACTCACTACAAAGCTACAGTAATGAAGTGTGGTATTGCCATACAGATAGACAAACAGATCAATGTAATAAACTGATAATCCAGAAGTAAACCTTCATTGTCAATGCATTTTCAAGAAGGATGAAGAGGCAATTCAGTGGGGGAAAAGAATATGCTTTTCAACAAATGGCACAGGGGCAACTGATATTCACATGCAAAACAATGAAGCTAGAACCTTACCTCACAGCATAGACAAAAATTAACTCAAAATAGATCACAGGCTTAAACGTAAAAGCTAAAATTATACAAGTCTCAGAAGAAAATATGAGAATAAATCTTTGTAGACTTCAAGTTAGGTAATGTTGTCTTAGATCCATACAAGTGATAAAAGAAAAATGAATATGTTGGACTCCATCAAAGTTAAAAACATTTGTGTTTCAAAAGATACCATCAAGAAAGTGAAAAAGCAACTTGCAGAATGGGAAAAAATATTTTCAAATTGTATCTCTCTTATGGGATTTATGTATAATATAAAGGACCCTTACGGATCAATAATCAATAAATAATTCAATTTAAAAGTAGGCAATGGGGGTGTCTGGGTGGCTCAGTTGATTGAGTGTTCAACTTCGGCTCAGGTCAAGATCTCATGGTTTGCAAGTTCAAGCCCCACGTCAGGTTCTGTGCTGACAGCTCAGAGCCTGCAGCCTACTTCCAATTCTGTGCCTTCTCTCTCTCTGCCCTTCCTATGCTCATCCTTTATCTCTCTCTGTCTTTCTCTGTTTCTGTCTCTCTCAAAAATAAACAAACATTAAAAAAATTAAAAGTAGGCAACAAATCTCCATGGACATTACTCACAGAAGATGTACAAATGGCCAATAAATACATGAGAGGATTCTCAATATCATTAGCTATCAGGGAAATGAAAACCTAAACCACAAAAAGATGCCATTTCAGACTTATTAGATGGCTGTAATAAAAAAGACATATAGCTTAGCGCCTGGATGGCTCAATCGGTTAAGCACCCAACTCTTGATTTTGACTCAGGTCATGATTTCACTGTTTGTGAGATTGAGCCCTGCATAGGACTCTGTGCTGACAGTGAGGAGCCTGCTTGGAATTCTCTCTCTCTCTCTCTCTCTCTCTCTCTCTTGCTCTCTGCCCTGCCCCTGCTTGTGCTCTCTCTCTCTCTCAAAATAAATAAAAACTTAAAAAGAAAGACACATACCAACAAGCGTTGGTGAAGATATGGAGGGAATTGGACCCCTGATGGTGGTGGGAAAACACAGTGATGCAGCTGCTTTTGAAAACAGTCTGGCAATTCCTTGATAGGTTAAACATAGTTACCATATAACCCAGAATTCCACTCTTAGGTACACACCCAAGATATATGAAAATATATGAAAAACTTGGAGATGAATGTTCATAGCAATATTACTCATGATAACCAGAAAGTTGAAACAACCCAAATTTCCATCAACTAATGAATGAATAAGTACAATGTGGTATATTCATTCAACAGAATAAAATTCAGCAATAAAGAATAGGGGCACCTAGGTGGCTCAGTCAGTTGAGCATCTGACTCTTGATTTTGGCTCAGGTTATGATCTTGCCATTCGTGAGTTAGAGCCCTACATCAGGCTCTGGGCTGACAGCACAGAGCCTGCTTAGGATTCTCTTTCCCTCTCTCTCTCTCTGCCTTCCTCTCTCTCTCTCTCTCTTTCTCAAAATAAATAAGTAAACTTAAATATTATTTTTAAAGTCCAGCAGTAAAGAATAATGAAATTGGGACACATGCTATGACATAGATAAATTTTATAAACATTGGCTATGTGAGAGAAATCAATGAAGAAAGACCACATATTATATGATTCCATTTATATAAGAAGTCCAGAATAGCCAAATCCACAGAGCCAGAAAACAGTGGTAATCTAGGGCTGGGAGAGTTAAAGGGAAATGGGGAGTGATTACAAATGGTCATGATTTCTTTTTAGGGTGATGGAAATATTCTAAATTTGATGTGGTGATGGTTGTGCAATGGTGATGGTTGAGAATATACTAAACCCACTGAATTGTACTTTCTTTTCTTTTTGTTTTTTTAATGTTTATTTTGTTTTTGAGAGAGAGAGAGAAAGAAAGAGAGACAGAGCGTGAGTGGGGGAGGGGCAGAGAGAGAAGAGACACAGAATGAGAAGCAGGCTCCAGACCTTGAACTGTCAGCACAGAGTCCCGAATTCACAGACTGCAAGGTCATGACCTGAGCCAAAGTCAGATGCTTAACTGACTGAGCCATCCAGGTGCCTTAAAATTTTTTTTTTAATGTTTATTTTATTTTTGAGAGAGAGGCAGAAAGACAGACAGACAGAGCATGAGCAGGGGAGGGGCAGAGAGAGAGGGAGACACAGAATCTGAAGCAGGCTCCGGGCTCTGAGCTGTCAGCACAGAGCCTGACACAGTGCTCGAACTTGAGAACCATGAGACCGTGACCTGAGCTGAAGTTGGACACTTAACCAACTGAGTCACTTAGGTTTCCCTGAATTGTATTTTAAATGGATGAATTGTATGGTGTGTTAACTGAATCTTCAAAAAGTTCTCTTAAAAAGAAGGAAAAGAAACTGATTTTCATTCCTTTCAAGTTTCAAATATGTCTCCATCCCAGAAATTACTAGGATTAGGCAACGGCTATATCCCAAACCTCAATCAGTACAAAGGAAGCTGGTAAACCACCAAGTGTCACCCCTGGGGGGTGCAGGGATCCCTGAAGGAAAGGATTAGAGGAGTCTGGCCACAAGCAGAGTGAGTGCAGACTCCCTCCAGCCAGCAGCAAGAACATGACTGCACACCTTTAATTTAATGCCTTTATCTTCCCAAAGATGAAGCATGTTCAGCTTGAAGTCTCTCCTGGCCAGAGGGCAGCTGTTTTAAAGCTGGAAAAAATCAAGACAGAGTGATTTTTATATTTTGATTCTCAAAGTATCTAAACATGTGAGCAAAT